AATTAATCTCCAGAGGTGCCTTCTCCTGGTCAGGGATACAGCTGGAGAAAAACTTAGGCTTTCAGGTATTTATGGACACGCCAACCGACATAGCGATCTCACTCACCCGCGACACTACACACTGTAGACAACCAAAACTTGAAGCTAGCAGCGCAGTATCATCCGCGTAGTCGAGGTCAGTCAGTCGGCGTCCGGTCACAAGCTCAACATCGTCTTGTTTGTGCAGGGCCCTCCCCGAGAAGTCATTCAATGACGTGGTTAAACAGAATGCCCTCCTGTCGTCCATTCTGGACCATCTTTGCGATTCATTTATTTCTGAAAATCGTGTGTGGTGGTTGGGAAGGATGCTAGGTAGTTAGACAAACAGGTTACAATGGCTTCATAACGTGGCCTTAGCACAACAGTTGACGGATGGATGAGTGTATTTTTGTTCACATAGCGTGAGGAGCGAGAAGATGCGTCACAAGCTCATTTGTACCACTGAGTCCACGTGCATCTGCAGGTACTTTGACCTGGTTTCAGGTACGAAGGGAGGTCAATGTGGTGCAAGTGGCCTCACTGTCATTCCTTCTGTGTAGTGATATTTCTCTTTGAGTACTCCGCGACCTGGCTGAGTATCGGAAAGTGCTTAAGGTAGCGGTCACCCCACAGTGCCCCGATAGTATTGGAAAGATAGGCGTTACGTTTGAACTTCAGTTGAACTTTTCAGTTGGATGAAAACTATCCTACTCCGAAGGACGTGCACCGTACGTACTGCCTGCACTTTCGAAAGTAAAAGGTAGCAAAAAGTAGCTGGGAAACAGATTTGCAAGGTAGCGGCGGGCGGAACATTATCCGAGTAACTTGTATAAATAGTATTCCGAAAAACTTCTACTCAATTAGCGCATGTATTCCAATATCTGCTGTTGTGTATTCTGCTTCTTGGTAAATACGCCATTTCCGAACAAAGCAAGGAAGTAATCCGGATTTTAAAGACTATATATTTTCGAACACGGCCTGATCTTTAATTGTTTAAAAGGTTACTAAACTGTATTTTACTTACTCTCGTAGCTTCTGCAAAACAAACTCACTGTTCTTGGTGGAATCTAGTAGCTCAAGTGATAAGAGCGAGTCACGAGTTCGAACCGCACAGAAAACGCAGTTTTTCCCAATTTGGGCAAGCCTGCCAAAAGTCTCGCACTAAACTTCTGTACACGTTCCTGAGAACAGGTTTTCTGGTTCTCAACAAATGGCAATACGTGTGGATCAAGTTAAATTATCTGACAGCAGCATTAATTAACCGGCTGCCTCAACATGAATATGACCCTTTTGAATTGTTGCAAGCGCATTTTCTGGAAAAAAAGCAAAGAACTTGTTCGCCTCGAATGCAAAAAGTAAGGCCGCAACTACCTATCAACTGACGATAGGGAAGTAATTTGCATAATGTACGGTCAAATTCAGCATGTTCCGTTAATAAATTTACTTCGGAGTATTTTCTTTAATAATCATTTTGGCAAACATTTCATGAGCCTTATTTGCTTTTCACTTAAACGTAAACGAAACATTTTCATCGCAGTCTGCAGGTTAAGGATGTTGGGAGGAGCTAGCTCCGCCTGATTAGTAACATATGTTATACGTGTCACCGTCAATAATCTTTTAAAAAATCCTTGTGAGGTTATTCAGAAAGATTGGTCACGTAGGCGCCTTTGGGCGTAACATGCCAATGACTTTTGCCAGATCTTGTTTTTGATCAGCAATAGAGGCCGGGGCAAAAAGGCAACTAGCGCTGGCGTGCTTAAACGCGCAATTTCTATTTTGGCAAACATATTCATCAAGGACTTTATGAGTTTGTTGGGCAGGCGTGTGGAGATGAGTTGGTAAGTGGAGCTCGGTTATTCTTCCACCCGTCTTCAAGACGCGTGAGATAGGACGTAGGGCAAAAAGTACCTCAGAAAAAAAGCCCGTCGGCGTTACTGAAAAGCTTTTTCCACTACTGTCATTGCCCGATCATTTTAGAATGTGTGTGGCCCTACCACGAGACGAGACAACGCAGCGATTTTCTCTACTTGGACGTGTCCGTATCAGTCAGATATTCGCGCTGTGGCGCGTTCTTGAAGTTTAACATGATTTTGATATCTGTTTAGTTGACTCTGCTGCAGCGTTTGGTTCCTTCTATAGTTAGCACCTGGGAGGGAGGGGGAAGATAGTGGAAGTAGATGACATGCCAATAAAAGTATCGTCATGATCAAGCCGTGCTAGTTTTTCCGTCCCCCGCGCGCATTAGCGTTCAAAGCAATTCCTTCCAGCCCACGACTATTTCTCTCGGCAGTTGACATGTTTGCGTTATGTAGCCCATCGTTTTCGACTAGGCCACTGACTGAATACCCAGACGGGTTATACAGGCCTTTGACGGCATCAAATCTGTACGCGGACGCCGGCTATTTGACCCTGACTACGCTTACAATATCGTCTTTTTAGCTTTACGCTTTGATAACCTACGGAGTGTGGTGTCATGTTGGAAAGAAGTCGTTAAATCGGTCGGTTTGTCCATAAAACGGGAAATGCTTTTGCCTTCTACCGCTGACCAGGAGATGTAGTTTTTCAAACGTCTAGGGAGGAGATTGATGCTAGATGGACAGAGTACGAAAGAGGCTATGTCCCGGATCGAAGCTGTCCGCAGAGTTTTCGCACACCGTAGAAAGCTTCCGTGGCCTCGACGCGATGCCTTCCTCACCATAAATATCCGCGTACACTATACAGTCTTTTTGCTGGTTCTCCGGTGCCGTCATTAATACTGCACGCGAAAAGCGACTAAAAAAGTAGAATTTGGCCACCGCCTGAGAACCCTCCCATGAATCAACTGAAGTGTATTCACCTCGAATGAGGC